TATTTGGTGTCATTGTTACTCTCTTGTGTTATTATTATTTGTTGTGAATATTATTCCTGGGCGGGATTATTTATTTTATCCCAACAGCTACCACGCGAAAAATACCGGAACAATACTAAAATGTTACACACAAAAGGTCGGGAAACCCACACAAAACTATAAACCAAAATGGGTCATAAAGCAAAGCAATAATGAATAGTGAAGCCAAAAACAGTGATGGCATCAAGATACGGGAGAAGGTCTGAAAATGGTTAGCCCGGGACAGTACTCTAACAACGATGAGCACCGAAATAGCAGTGCTAAAGAAACAAGGAAAACGGCCGCCAATAACTTTTCCAGCAAGATTCCGACAAAAATCCCAACCTTTTCTTGTTTATCTTCCATTAGATCTAGCAAATAGAAGTAGATAAAATACAAATGAAGTTAAAGAAAGCCAAAGCTCGCCGGAGAGATGTTTCCAGCCAAATCTGAGGTCGCCGATACATTGTCAATCGACAGTGTTTTTATCCACAAAAACGAGTGAAAAGTGAAAGATAGGGGAGTAGCCATGATTGGTCGACCAGACCCACCAGTGGTCAAATCTGGTCGACCGGCGAGGAGGGCTGGCAGGCATCTCTCAAAGAGAGAGAGAGAAAGAGAGACATGGAGCTCCTGTTTGGTGTGTGTGTGGGGGGGGGGGGGGGGGGGGAGCAGGGATACGAAGTACAAAATGCGTTTGAACTTAAAAATGTACTATTATTTTTTGGCGCAAGTTAAATCTAAAACAATGGGCGAATATCCGAATATACACGTAATGTCTGCACAACTACATCAACCACTGCCTCTCAACTTCCAACTTCAAATTATATTATAGCCTTCACTACAAGTTATTTTTATTATTCGATACATTTTTATCTGGTTTTAAGAATAATATATGCATGCATCGGATATCTGAATGACTGATTCTATGTCAAAAGTTTCAATGGCCAATTTCAATGGTTCTGACTTCTTTTATATTTATTTTTGTAATGAGCGGAATAACTGAACCTCAATAATTAACTTTGGCCAATATGTGATTTATCTTGTTCTTAGTTGTAGTGAAACTTTGATTTTATTTGGCGAGAAAATTTTTCGCCCAAAGATCAAAGTTAAAAGTTTTAGGCATTTTTTGAGTATGTTTAACTTCCGAAATTCATGTCCATCCAAAAAACAAAAAGATTGATCCTACTAGATTTTAGTTTTTTTTGAAGAAAAATTACATGTTATTCGATATTTACACCAAATTAACATACTTTATCATGATCAAATAATAATTTGAGGTGAAAATACATATTAGCCATAGTTAAATAAAAAAAATGCAGAAGATACCTATCATGTTATTAGTGATTTGGTGTACAAAAGTTTTTATCATTTTACTTTGGTGGAATGGTGTTTTAGTTCTCCACATAAACTTATACCAAATCTTGTGGAACTATTCTTTTTGTTTTTTGTTTTTTGGATCACCATATCTTGTCGAGTTTATTGGAGTCAGTTCATTTATTTAAAGTTTTGATGTGTACTGTCCCATAAAGCTAATTTCAATCAAACTAAACTTTTCGCCTTTTCTCTTTAGTGGAGAATCATTTTGAATTTGTCCCATGCACTCCACACAAAAAAATGCTTCTGTTTCTTTATACTCTTTACATCAAACTTTTAGACATAGAATTATACACATAGATAAGGAGAACAAAAAAGTGCTATAGTTCAAAACTTTTCATTGCTGCATTTTAGCTTTTCTCTTCTACATCCAAATCAAAATTGGAGAAAATACCAAAAAAAAAAAAAAAAAAACTACTCCTAATATAGCTGTTTCTCATATGTATAAGTATTCCCGAGTATATATAGATTTTATGTACTTATGATCTATATATATTATTAATTAATTTATTCAATTTAATTAAATGGCCAGAATTCCAGTTGCAAAGATTTGGCCATTTCCACAAGGGGAGCTCGCAACATCAGCAGATCTTGCAATTTCTGAACTACACTTCTCTTTGTGTTCATCAATTGCTATTTGTCTGTACCGACACTCTGTGCTACAAAATGCTTTCTCTCCCCTGAAAAATTATTAACAAATAAACATTAGTACACTTACGTTAAAGAGTTTTAACTTTTACACGCTAAATTAATTATATGTAATTATATAAGATAAGTGAAATTCGGTAATTTTAAAAAATAACACAAGTAACCTATTAGTTAGAGCGTAGATCGATGATTTAAACTCTATAAGTATTTTTAACTTTCTTAAACTTAATTCATTGTGTTTTTAAAATTATGATTTCAATCAACTATTTGTTGCAGTAATTTCAGTAAATTTTTACACATAAATTTATACTGGGTTCAAATGAACTCGATACATATCCACCTCTGCTATTAGTACGTGTGTAATTATACTAATAGTGTAAATATTCGTTAAGAGTGTGTATAAGTTAAATTATTAAATACGAGATAAAGGAAAATTAAACCAAAAAAAAATAAAATTGGAACTTGAGAACGTACCTATACATGTATATGTCTTTTCCGTGTAGCTTTTTTTGACACAAATGACATGAACTGAGAAAATCGGAATCTGGACCCGCCGGAAAATCCCCTAATCTCGCCGGAGATATGTCAAAAACGCTCGGACGATTACATTTTCTGGCCTGAACCGCCGTTCCACCGCCGTATACCTTAGTGTAAGATTTGTTACCTGGTGCACGACAAGTAACAATTGTATATTCTTCAAAACTATCCATTTCTGTTTCGTCAAATTCCGCTTTATATAAAGCTGAATTTTTGGTTGAATTCACTGGAATAGGAAGTGTCCTATTTGAATTCCGGTTGTAAACAACGGCTTTGTTCGCCGGAGTTTCGCCGTATTTTCCACCGGATTTTTCTAGTGCAGCCACAATAGCTAATCCAACTCCACCAAAATCAAAGCTTTTTAAGCCTCTTGGTGATTGAATTTTGAAATCTAGTGGACTTCTTGGGCTAGTGGCACCTTCCATTATCCCCTTCCGGCTACCAGAAAATGCTACTCCGGTGAGTTTTCCGATCACCGGCGTTGATCTTTTTCCTATCATGATTTATAGTTCAAAAGATTTTCAAGGCTGTATTTGTAAGAAATGAAGCTGTTTTTGCCTAAGGCTTAAGGCTTGAGTCTTTGCAAAGCTCTTTATAGAATGGCTCTTTATACAAATGGTGTAGTTTTGCAATATGATGGAGTTGTTAGATATAGCCCATGGTTTAGTTTGGTAGGGTATCATAGAGAGATGATTGACACAATAAAAAAATAAAAAATCAAGTGAGATAATTGAGTCACTTTATTCTATTTACTCCCTTCAGTCTACTTTAATTAATTTTTTTGGCTAGTTTTGCCCATGTTATCTTTTTTCGTTTTCTTTCCGTCTTCCAAAACTGAGTATTTATTGAAAACAACCTTTCTGCCCCATCAGAATAGGATAAGATTTCTAACACACTACACTCCCCAGACCTCACTGATGATATTTTAGTGGGTCATTATTGTTGATTATTTTTGCACGTATTAAGGAACTCACATTTTAACATAACTAACAATGAAATAGATTATATTAACCTTAATTTGTTCGTTGCAAATACAACACATACTCCTAAAATTTTTACTACAAGAATAACTTTGAGAAAGGAGGAGTTAATTCTTCCTTAATATATAAAAAAGCAAATATTACAGACTAAAAAAAAAGCAAAAAAAATCAATTAAAATTAACCGGAAAAAATAAGTATAGTACGGTTATTAAATTGGATTCCAAAGCAATTTTTTAAAATGTCACTTGTCAATGACCAATTTTTCAAGAAACGTCTATGTCCAATAATTGGGACCCAATCAATTGGTGGGACCCAACATTGCAGATCAAAAGATTCCGGCAAGTTATCGCCGGCGATTTGTGTACGTGTCGAGGGATGAGAAGAAAGTGTCAAGATTGTAATTATTAGTGGGACCACTAAATGGGGTTTGGAGCCCATTGATTTATTTTTATGTTTTTTGTTTTTAGTGTGGTGGGACCCTGGCCTATGGCTATTGGAATATGTGGGGCCTAGTGCTTTTGGAATGGAAAGCGATTTATGGTGTTAGCTGAATTCTTCTCTGTTCACAGGGTGGTTGTACATGTTAAAATTACATAAGTACCCTTTCAAACCCCACAATGTACTTTCTTTTTTCCAAACAAAAAACTCTTTAAAAGATTTTATTCTTTTTGGAAAAAGGAAGAAATCGAATTTTTATTTTTTAAAGTGTTAAAGGCCTTTTAAACTGAAGGATTCTCCATTATGAAAGAAAAAGTAAAAAAGCGAGAAGAACTAAATAATTTGAATTTGACTAATTTTTCTTTAAAACATCGATCTTTCTCTTCTTTCTTTTTTTCTAAAAAATAATCATTACGATTAATTCAAATTCAGAGTTGAGCGTAATAAAAGAAAAAGATTCGTGTATAAATGATATCAACTAGTAGTATGATGATAAGGTAAATTTAACTAAATGAAAAACGTGAAAATTCATATAGCCAATCAAAATTAAATAAATATGATTACATTAAAAAGCTTCTTAAGCAAGAAGAAGATATCAAGCAATTGAAGAAGATACTACGATATGTTGTGTCTTACTAGACATATCAGATAAGATAAGTGATATTTTTATAATTAACATAAACTGTTGGAATCGATTCTAAATTCATATCCAAAAAGTTAAACTTCAAGGATTTTTGGAGGAAGAAATTTTTATAAAGTTCACTCATATTACTGAATTAATTGAGAGAGAGAAATATGAATTACTGGTAAAGATATTTTGATTAAAAAATAAGATTTGCATTAATCAACATGGAAAAAAAACAAGTTATCAAAACGATTTTAGTTCAACAGAATAATTGTTGTATAAACAATTCAAGTAGACTTTATCCATCAAATAAATCAAATATCTATGAGGTATAATACACAAGATGCCCATCGAATTTTGATCGAATTTCTAACTATGTACATTAAAACTTTGCGGGAGAGATGTATGACTCCTCTAAGTTAGTTTAAAGTGAAATTATAGCCCATTATGTGCTAATATAGCATATGAAGTGTATTAACTCAATGCTTATGGTGAGTTAAAAGGCAAGACAATAAATGCATCTTATGGCCGGAAAACACTGCAAATTTTATAAATTATTTTGACTATGCTAATGTGAAAAAAGAGGCGAAAAAGTGTTAAAAAGGGAAGAAAATAAAATAAATTAATGAAGAAAATGCTTTTTCATAGAAAAATATAATATACTATTATTAATGAATGAATAAAATAGTATTACTCTCTACATTTTCGAATAAGTCCTCTAAGATAGAAAAATTATTTTTGATAGACTTTCGACAAATATCAGAATTATAAAAGTACATTAAAAAATAAAGAATATCATAATTTGGTTTTAAAAGGGCAATATGGGCAGCTAAGAAAGAAAAGAGAGTTGCCGTTGATTTATTTCAAACAGTAGCTGCATTGGGAAACCTCCACTTCCAACCAAGAGGTTGTGAGTTCGAGTCTACCCAAGAGCAAGGTGAGAAAGTTCTTGGAGGGAAGGATGTCGAGGGTCTATTTGGAAACAGCCTCTCTACCCCAGGGTAGGGATAAGGTTTGCGTACACACTACCCTCCCCAGACCGCACTAAGTGGGATTATACTGGGTTGTTGTTGTTTGTTGTTGTAGCTGCGTTGGACACCCGGCACCTAAGTTGGAGCCATTAGTTCTATTGCGTACGTGTTTATACTATTTTTTGGGAGGTTTCGTAGAACCACGTGAACTTACTCCAAGGATTGCGACCTTCACTTTATAATTGAAAGGGAGTTTAGCTATTGACAAATTTTTATTTTATAAAATTTTCATTATTTTTGTATTTTTAATTTTGGTACATTTTTCTATATCATGATGATACATTCAATATATATTTTTGTAATTCTTTTGAAACAGAAAGTGTATTTAATTTTAAAAATTCCATTAAAAAGGAGATAAGGGAAGGGAAAGAGAGAGAAGGATAATGGAAATAGAATTCACTTATTGAGAGGTTCTCACTTCTCACTGATAAGTTTGTTATAAAAAGTGAGTATCAATTATAATATCACCTGATTATCCAAGAAATAAAATAGAAAAAAAAATTGAATTTTAATTAAATAAATGACAGCCTGATGCAACAAAGTATCATGTATTCACACAAGGTCTGATTAAGGACCGCACCTCAAGGGATGTGATGTAGACAACCCACTATAATGCAAGCATCAACATATGTTTTCACGGTTCGAACTCATGACCTATAGGTTACACAGAAACAACTTTACCGTTGCTCCAAAGCTCCTCTTAAAAAAATTAATATTGAAAGAAATTAAAAGGTCAAGGTGGAATGATGTTTTTGTATTATAAATAAATTTTCAATATTTTTTATTTTAATTTTGGTCCATTTTTTAAATTGGTTGATACATTCAATATATATTTTGTACTTCAAATCCCTATATTTCTTTTGAAGCAGACATAGTATTTTTTATTTTTTTTAAAATCCATTAAAAAGAGATAAGGGAAGCGAAAGGGCGAAAGGGATAATGGAAATAGAATTCACTTTATTAGGTACTCATGATAAGTTGGTTATACAAAGGGAGTATCAATTATAATATCACCTGATTATCCAAGAAACAAGATATGAAAAGAAAAAAGAATTTTAATAAAAAAAGCAGTCAAGTGCACAAAGTATCACGTATTCATGCAGGTCCGAGGAAGAGGCACATCCCAATAAGTATGACATAAAAAGTCTACCCTAATGTGGTTGCTTTTACGACTCAAATTCATTACTTATAAGTCACACAAAAATAACTTTACCATGCTCCAAAGTAGGGGGTATTCATGGCTCGGTTTGGATCCGTTTTTCCCTAAAAAGAAATCAAACCAAGTAAGTCGGTTTTCAAATATTAGAACCAACCCAAACCAATTAAGTCGGTTTTTTCTCGATTCGGTTTATGTTGGGTTTTATCGGTTTTTCGATTTTTTCTTAAATATAAGACATACATTACCAAACACATATTTCGGAGACCACATTTCAACGTAACACTATCAAATCAATTGCCTTTTGAGAAATCTATTATTTACCGAGATATATTGATGATAATTGAATCAAAATTAAATAGTGATGAATAATTTAAGGACTCGATTAAAAATATATTATTTTAACAAGAAATGGATTCTTACACTTAACAAAAGAAAACTACCAATCAAACTAGAATGTAAAGGTAAAGAACTATACTAAAATGCAAACTATTAACATTTACCATTAAATTTTTGAAACTTTGTATAGAAATATACATATATATAGGTTTAATAATAAATCTGAAACAGCTACTCCTATAGTCGGTTTGGTTCGATTTTTTTAGATTTTTTTCTAATTAAAACCAAAACCAAACTAAATTTGATCGGTTTTTAAAATTCAAAACCAAAACCAAACCAAACCAAACGAAAAAGTATCGATTTTTTTTGGTTGGTTTGATTTGGTTTTCAGTTTGGTTCGATTTTTTGGATTTTTATGAACCCCTACTCCAAAGCTACTCTTCAAGAAAAAATAATTAGAAGAAATTAAAAGGTCAAGGTGGAATGATGTTGACACACAACAATTTCTTCAATTATGAAAGAGATGTGCCATTTTAAAATATATATACTCTCAGTTCACAGTCTTTATTGACCAGATTTTAATATCTCCTAACAATTATTTTAAGAATTTTAAGAATTGTTTTTCAATTACTATACATAAATTTTATAATATAAATTAGCAACTTGAGTTTTAGATACCAAAGTTATGTGTCATCTCTTCTGAGATTTCACCATTGAAAATACTTTGATGTCCCATCATATTGGCCATATTTTCAATTCAATTTAAAACAGCAGTTGGGTGAAAACCATCTTAATAAGTTTCTATTAAGAAAATGTAAAATATAATTTTTGTCATTTCGACATTTCATTGTCGAATAGAGTGTGAGTCTTCGTAAGAGAAAAAAGAGTCGGGGTCCACTTATAAAGAAGGTAATTGATGACATAACTTTATTTTCATTCTTATCTCTAAAAGGGGCCATTTGGTTTCAATTTATTCATCAGGGATAATTAAGAGGTTCTAATTAAGAGGTTCTTATTGATTTTTTTTTTAAGAATTAATCTAAATAATAGCTCAATCG